GGTCACGGAAAAAGTATTTATATAAAATCAAACTTAATTTTAGCCTTCTTTATAATGAAATGTCGGGTTAAAAACATCCTAATAATCCCGTCGAATACTTAATAACTAATGTTAAAGAACAACAAAATTTTTAACATATTTGATAAATAATAGAATTTTGTAACAAAAAAAACAATAAATATTGGTATATTTATTGTTTATTAATAGTAAAAATGAGATTAAAGAAAAGCAGAAATAAGATATATTGAAATTTTTATCTTAATTGAAAATAAAAATTAATAATACAACTAAAACTATAATTAAAATATAGTTAAATTAAGAACAAATACAAAATTGAATTATCTTCCCAAAAATGATAGGTAACAAATACTTAAATTAACGGGATTAATAACTTTTCTATAACAAAAATACAAACAAAAAAGAATAACAAAACTAAAAACAAAATTTACAATTTGTCAATTAAATATCATAACATGATTTTGTCAAAAATGATTTATTATCACGACTAAAAACAAAAATGAAATTGCTATCAGAAACTTTCAACAACCAAACATTATCTAACACACCGTAACATCATCGAAGTGAATATCAAACAAAATGATAAAACATAATTAATACTTGTTAAACTTTTGATACTTTCTTACTTGAAATTTCCAAATTTATTGTTAAATTGTACATCTTGTAAGTTAAATGGTCTTGCTCTTAAACTCATTGAATGAGTATAATTTGCTCAACTGCACTCCATAGTATTTTTACATATTTTTTCTTCAAATAAAACACTTAAACTTCAAGTTTTAACCTTTTGAGTCTAAATAGTTTAACTTTGGCATTTCGTAACTCACTCTTGTATTATGTTTTGTCATTAATATTTGCTTTATGTATTGGTTTTGTTTTTTAACTTTTGCTCGAGTATCAGATTCTCAGATCGTGTTTCAAGACGAGCAATTATATACTGACTCTCAACTCGACATTTTTTCTTTTGTTTTGTGGTTTTACAATTCTTCTTTCTAACAGCCAGAGTCAATTAACATTTTTTACATCATGTCAGCGTTATTTATTTACTGCCAATCTCCAGTACCATTTCATCCAGGAGCATCCAATTTCTCATTCGAAAAATACAAATAATTTGTTGCCTTATCATATTTTACACAGTCTTTTCACTCTGAGTCATAAGTCTTTCGTTTTCACTAAATGTGGTTATATTCTTTCAATGTTTAAAGACAGGTAGATATTTTCAGCTAAATTGATTAATCAGTTACTCAATTAATATACTATGTCATGTGTGCTATTCGAGATTTCTTTTTATATCTTATGTTTAGTATTTTTATCCAATTATTATGAGCTTTATCATTGTAATTAACCAATTTTCTGGTAAATATAAAATTGAATTTAAATGTTTATCATTACATTGTAAATTTTTTTGTCAATAGAATATTTATTTTTAATTAACAGTTTATAAGTTTATTATAAATATTATTGTTTTTAATTATAAAGAATGTTAATTAAAAACACAATTGGATTTTTTTAATCACAAACATTTTTTTTACAATCAGAAGTTGTTTTAGTCACATTTAATAATTTTTTATCATGGTTATTAATCAAACATCTGAAGTTATTTTATTTTTAAATTTTAATCAAAGGTCGAATAATAAATAAAATATAATCACCAAATAATATATGGCAAAAATGGATTTATTTATTCATGTTTTATAATTATTATATTTAAATAATATATATAAAATATATGATTTGTTAATTCAAATACAAACTATATTTCATTAAAACATATATCAATAGAATGATATTTATAAATTGAAACAAAACAATTAAAAATTCACAGTTATTGTTGTATTTTGAAAAAGAATTAACAAAAATATTTAATAATTTATTATAATTAACATTAATTTAACTATATTACTGTTTAAAATTTAACTTAAGGCAATATAATTTTTTTTAACTTATTAGCAATTATTTTAAACAATTTGATGATGAATAAATAATTAATTATTAAATTATTCGCAATAAATAATTTTTATAATATTAATATAATTTCAATTATTGTTTTTTCAAATGAGTTAACCAACAAGTATTTTCCCCGCTGCCAAGTACCGGGTCAACAAAACATTAGAAAATAATTATCACAAATAAATAAGTTCAACAAAATTATAATTTTTAGCATTTTTATTATATTATACAATAATAAACGTTTTAATCTAATTTTGTTTTTATAAAATATAAATATATATATATATATATATATATTTTTATAAAAAATATAACCATTTGTATATACATTCAGTAAAAAAAATAAAATGAAACTTAATTAAACACTTGTTTTGCTTCAAAGCCTATTTCTGCAGATCTTGTTGACATGTTTTGATGTAAAGTTACTTTCAAAACTGAAAAACTTTTTTCAACAACACAACTCGTCACTGCGATAAGATTTAATTCTTTCACAAGCAGAATCAATTTGGGGAAAGATTTTCTTTGATCATTTTGGATCATTTCGAGGGTTTTTTGCATTGTTAGATATTCCATTGGACATATTTTTACAAATTCTGTGAGATGATTTGCAGTGTAGTTCCTAAAATTTGTACGTTGTGTCAAAATTTCAAAAGGAGAATTAACCACCTGATCAGATAAAACAACATCGAACAAAGTTGGTACATACAGTTTAGTAAAATGACCCGATGTGTCTTTAATGGCATCAATCTGTATTCTCTCTTTTTTGGTCATTTTAATTTGTTTTGGAATTACATTTTGATTGTAAAAGGATGTTTTAATGTTTTTGAACATATCAAAGTTTAATTCATTTTCAATAAACATTTGTATATTTTTCAATTCTTCTGATGCATGTTCTTCGCAACTCATAATTAAATCACATTTAAGTTGCTCTATTTGTTTAGATGGATCATTTTTGTTATTTATAACTAGTTGTACAAATTTATCAGGGTAAAGTGACTCGTTGAATTGACGACGTAAATATTCAGGAGTGTTTTCTTCAAAAAATTTTATATATTCGTCGTATGTTTCTATATAAAGGTGTTCCTCGTTTACTGATTTACATCGACCAATTTGAATTTTACATTTTTTAAAGGGATTAGAAAATCGATACACGAATGATTGAATCATTCTCGTTGTTAAATCACAACATACTTCTCTCAGAATTTCAATACCAAATGAATCATTTTCTCTTATAAAAGGAAGAGATGAGAATTGTGTCAAAGAAGTGTCTTTAATTATATTTCTTAAATCAAATAATCGTTTAATGTAATTTTGAATTCTCGGAAAAGCCAAAGAAATTGTTATTTTTGGCGTCTGAAGCCAACTCAGAATCAATGATATTTCACTGAGAATATATTCGGTGTAAAATAAGGCTCCAACAAACAAAGGATTGTCGAGATTGGGTTCTCCAAGTCGATTTTTAACAACGTTTTGTGGTTCAAATTTAAAATTATTCTTTTTTAGGAAATTTTTGTATACATCAAAGTGTTCAAAAACAAAGTTTAATATTAGTTCATTGTAACAAAAACGTGTATTTGCATAAAAACGGTTTTGAAGAGCGACCTTGTCAATTTTGTTGTTAATTGTATAATTATACCACAATGTTCTCCAATGTTGATTAGAAATTGTATTTATGAATTGTTTAATAAGTGCTCCCTCGTTTTTATCAAAAATACGAGAAGTGCCTCGGTTACATCGGTGACAAAAACAGTAATTATACTTGAACGATTTTTTAAGTTGTTCAGAGTTTACACGGTTTGACGCTTTTTGTTAACAAAAAAAAGATATTTATTTTGATTATAAACAATTGTAAATTTTTAATAAATGTGTTATTATAAAAATATAATAAAAAGAATATTTATTATGTCATTAACACTATATTCAAAAAATCATTTTAAACAACAAACATTTAACATTTTCCGTTTGAATATACTCGCTCTGATTTTGTCGTGTATTTATATCAGCCAAAAACCCAACATGTGTATTTTTAATGTGGATTTTTCTAAGATGTTCTTTGTGATGTTTATATCGTATGATAAGCATTTTGAGATGCATTGCTAAAGATTTCATGTTGCTTCCACCATCAACAGTACATCCTTTTAAATGGTTTAAGGACAAATGAAAGTGTTTAAGAATTCGTTTAACCCATTTTTCCCACCCCAATCCACTTGTTTTCCCAAAATAGCTTCCAATTTTTATTTTTATTTCTTCGGGTATAAATCCATTTAAAACACGACAATACAGTGAAAACTTTTCTTTTGAACGAAATTTGGTACTGTCTGCAATTAAATGATAATCAACACCAGATTTACCAATCTCCATCAACTTTTGTTTGGAATATATATGAATCAATTCCATGTAGCGTATAATAGTTTTAGTACTCACTTTAATTACAAATTTGTTGTTTCCGTATATTGTCAAAATTTTAGTAGCTTCTAACACTTGTTTAATTTGGAACTCTGTTAAAGACATCATTTTGAAATACAATGCAAATAAAATCATGAAATATTTATTTTGAAGTTTATTTCTTAATTTTGAAGTGTTTTCACTTTTGGAAATTATTTCTTCCTGAATTTTTTTTACAATTTCTTCAATACGTCCTTCTTTTATATTTTTTGTTTCAGTAATGATTTTTATCAAAGTTTTAATTATTTCAATATTATTTTTTGTGTTGTTGATTTTTTCAGGACCATCTTTTAAACTGTTCTCACTTTCACTCAAGTCGTCGTTTTGTTCTTCAGATGTTTGATTAAAATCAGTACCTGTGTTGCTACTATCAAATTCATTATCTGTACTTTCACTTAAAGTATCAAGAGAAACACTTTGATTTAATATATCAATTACTTCACTATCACTTGTGTTTTGTTCACTTGATACGTTAGAGTGTTCTTGTGATAATGAATTATTATGTGGATCGTCATTTATAATTAACATTGGAATTGTTGTGTCTGTTAAATTTAACAAATTTTTTTGAACATTACTTATTTGACGAGTATTGATTGGTTTTTGTGAATTTGTATTGTTCAAAGTCAATTGTGTATTATCTACAATGTTTACATCTAACACATCTATATTATTTTCGTTAAGTTGCTTCATTTGTATTTGATTGTTTTGTGTATTATTAATATCTTCTAAATGATAAAATGTTTCTGAATGTGTTACAATCTCCATTTGCATTTCTTTTGGAAAATTTATATTTAATGGATAAGGAATAGTCAAATTTGTTTCATAATTATGCCAATCATTGTTCAATGTATCAATTGTTTTATATATATATATTCTTGAGTTACACGACTTTCATTTATAAAGTTGTCAATATCTTTTTTGTGGAGGTCAAAAAGTCTCGTGGCATTGACACATTTACTGTCAAAAAGGCTGTTAACAGCAAGTAAATTTAAATTTTCAATATTTGAATCATAAAAATTTTGCAATGTTTCAGTATCAATATCATTACTAAATCTGTGAATTGAAATATGAGAATCAAATTCATCTCCATAAAAAGTGTTACAAAAAATACAATAATGAAGACGTTTAAATAATGTTTGGCACACTCCTTTAATATGTGGTTTAAATGTTAAACACTCTGTAAATTCATTTATGGGTATTTTGTACTGCTTTTGTATCTGTGGATATCTTTTCATTTTGAAAATACAAGTTTGTAAACACCTTTATATACATTTTTTGAAGTTATAAATTGACTTGATACCTTTATTTAGAAAAAAAAATAAGTTTTTAATTAATTTTATTGATTATTAACATTTTTTTCAATTTTGTCATATTTAAAATTTTAATATGACAAATACCAACAAAATAAAGTCAACAACGATCTTTAATAAAAATAAACAATGGCAAAATTTATCAATTTGCTTAAAACTTGTTGTTAATTCATTTCTATTTCATCACTGAAAAACAAATTAACACTTTGAAGATAATATCAAACAACAATATAAATGTACAGAAAATATCAACTTACACACATGATGATTATTATTGTCTATTTTTTTACCATTTATAAAAACACCATTACAAATATCAAACTCTAATTAATAAAATAGAATATGACGTTTTTTTAAATTTATAACAAGAGAAAAATAATCAAAGTATTCAATAAAATTAATTCACTTTGTTATCGGACATGTGTAATTACTCAAAAATGTAAATAAACCAAAATTTGTATAATTAAAAAAATGAATCAAATGACTCGAAAATATATTTTTATCTTTTTATATATTTAAATTTTTTTGTTAACTATTTAATTATAACTAAAATTATGTTGTGTAGTTGTGTTTTATGTCCAATTTTAAATACACTCGAGGAAATACAAAAGAATTAATCTAATCAAAAAAACATATCATCAATATACAGCTTATTGTGAACCCTTTTAAATCTATAATTATAATGATCATTTTATCTGAATATTTGTTAAAAATATGCTATGTTGACACTCTGCAGAGATAAAATGTAAACATTTCATAAGAATACCAAATTTGATACATTTGTAATTAAAATTGACTGATAACTTTCTAAAAAGAAAACAGCAACTTTTTTATTAAATGTTGTAATAGTCGTTTGCAATCTTTTTTAATTGATCATTGTAGAAAAAATGGAATTATAGCATACGAATTGATAATATAATATATACATTTTAATAATATAATGGTAACTTGGTTAATTAGAATTTGTGATTTTGTGGAACTCAGTATGTTTGAAAATTGTTTGATATTGTTTAAATGTAATGTATTTACTATAAACGATTATTTTTTTTAAGGTACTAATTATATGTTTTATTATTTTTTATTTACATTTTTGAATGGATTTTTTATAAAAAATAAGAAAAATTTGAAAGAAAAACTAATTCAACTACTTTTAATATTCTCGTTTGTTTTTTTTATTATTTATTATAATTATGATAAAAATTATAATATCAAATAAACTATAATACTAACTTATTAACATCTAAAGTTTTGGGAATACATAATCAAAATAAATAAATGAAATTATTATTTGATATAAAACAACAATAGAACAATTCAAAAAAGTAAGAGTTTCAAAAAAAACAATAATAAATTATAAACAAATATAATAAATACATATAAAAATGATAATAATCAATTCTTGAGAATACAGTAATAAAAACCTTTCCACAAATCACTCGTGGTTGTTTTTTCTTTAGGATGTATCAATTGATATTGTTGTGTTTGAAAGATATGATATGATTTACAAGTCAAATAATAATCAAAAAATAATAATAATTAAAATAAATCTTCAAGTTAATATTTTTAGAATTTATATTATTGATAGACGTTTTAATGCTATTGTTTCGGGCTGTTTTAACGGATAAAAATTCCAAAAATAAAAAGAATGTTCTAGCGATTACATTTTTTACAGAAACTATATTATATAGTAAAAACCCAAACCATAGCAGAAAAAATTAACTTTTTGTTGAAAACTTTGCTATTTTAAGATTAAAAAAACGAAAAACAACAGAAATTGAATCATTGTGGTAAAAAAATGGATGATTTTGCCAAGAGGCTCAAAGATCAGTTCAAAATGTCTAATCATGTTTAGGGACGTCCTCCCGCTATAAAGGACGTCCTCCT